CAAGGATCTGAATTTTGAAATCTGTCTAACATAATCCAAAATAGACTAAAGTTTTTTTTTGCCTATGGAACAATAAAATAAAAATTATTAAATTTGAAAATAATTTTTAATACAATATTATTAATACTTTAAATTAATAGTTTAATATGGTTTGAATTATATAATGTTTTTTATAAAAAATTATTGAAAGAAAAGAAGAAAAGCAAAACGTTTTTTATCCTTTATCCATCTTATTAATTACCTAAAATCTAATTCGGAGGTAGATGACATGCCTTTACTTTTAACGAGAGCTAAAAAATAAATAAATAAAGATTAAGAAGCTGAAATATGAAGCTATCATGGAATTTAGTATCAAATCGAGGCCATGGAAAAAAAAGAAAAGAAAAGGAAAGATAATAGATTGAAAAAAAAAAAAAAGAAAGATAAAAATACTTCAACTATATATCTCCTTTATTTTTACTTTTCTCTTTTTCTTTGTTTTTCTCTTTTAGGAACAATCCTATTATGATGAACATGTATATCTGAACTATGAATTCCGATGTTCTATTTCTATAGCTACTTTTCTAGAACTTTCTAGGAGTTTCAGGAATGATCTTGATGACAAGACCTGGAAAAACGTCATCCGGGTCATGGATATGCGGGTTTCGCTCCACAATAAAAGGGTCGCCGCACTTATCGCTGATGGTGTGGAGGGTCTCGCCTTCTCCGACGATGTAGATTTCATCACAGGGACGGTTGAGGAGCTGGGCGCCTCTTACGGGCTGCTCGTCCGCCTGAGAATTGGCTCTCAAGGAGCCCACCAATATCAACGCCAGTATTAAGGCGGCGAAATACCATGATATGGCATCAACTGTGGTAATTGATCTTCGACGACTCCGAGATGTTGGTGATGAAGAAGAAGGAGAAGAAGAAGAAGAAGCCATGTCTGGCAAAAATTTTAGAAAATTTTTTGGATGAAACAGAGAGGGTTCTGAAGCATTGGAGGGTGAGAATCTTCTCTTATTATATATTTTTATATGGAACTTAGTAGGGGAGGAATCAAAACTTAGAGAGGACTACTAGTTATCAAATTACTAAAAAGGACTTCTCACCTCTTTTGAAGAGTTTGATGTTATTTTTAATTAAAGATTTTTCTCATGGAAAAAAAAAACTATTTTAATTTAGGTTAAACTAACTATTTGTACTTTATATATTATTTTTTGTGATTAATATTTTTAAAATTTTTTATTTTTATTCAATATTTTTTATAATTTAAAATTAATATAAAACTTAAAAATTAATAATTAAGTCTCTTATTTATACCCTAACTTCATTAATAATTTCTATTTATGAAAGAGATTAATCAAAAATAAAAATAACAAAAAATATTAATTAAAAAAATAATATATAAAATAAAAATAAAAATTTCTCCTTTCAACTATAAAAAAAAATTTAAAATATCATAAAAATATCACGTAAGTAATATCTTTAATCAATAAAAAAAACACCACGTGTAAAATTATTCTTGCTCATTTTGATGAAAAGCATCAGAATAACATCTCGCAACGACGAACTCAATCCGCTATCATCTGAAACATTTTTTCCAAATTCTAAAAGCCCATCTAGCCAAAAATAATATAATTTCCCAAGTAACAACAAAATACAAAAGATATACCTAGGTGTTTTCAATTTATAGCCTCTCAGATTTTTAAATTTAGAAAAGAAAATCTCTTTAATTTCTCTCAAATGCCCCTCTTCCTCTCTACTCGGGCTTTGCTTCTGAGTTCCTTTCTTGGATCTCCTTCAATTTCTCATGGATTTTCTTTCTTTCCCAGGTTTTGAACTTTCCATTCTACACAATTTCAAGTTGCCTGACAAATTTTAGAAAGCTTCCATACAAAATACAAGATCTCTTAATGAGTTAAAGCAGAACTTAGCCGACGAGAAGACTTTCCAATTTTTCATCGATAACTTTAACAGAGGTTTTGGTCTTTCGTTAAATGCAATCTCCGTTATGCGTTGAATCAGCCACTTGATCTGATATGTTACCATAGAATGACGTTGTACTTTTCTATTGGTTGGGGATACCACGTCAATGGTATCCTCAGGATATTCTAGACTTTCTCCAACTATGGGCATCTTTCATTTGGCCACTTCCTCATAGAGAGAATACGGTAAAGCTAAGCTATTTTTATCGATGGTTCTGTGCCAAGAGGGAGTAAGAATATGGAATAATAATGCATTTGAGCCTTCGGGTTCAATAGAAATAAAACTACATTAAAGTGCATTCTTCTTTTTTTGGTAATGATTCGAATCCAAGTTTTGTAAACATATTAAAAAAATGTGGAATAAAAAAAAATAGTCAATTATAATGGGATATAATAAATTATATTACCATATCACAGTGTGCATCCTAAAAAGTATGTGAGAAATTTTTTTTTTTAGAAATATACTAATTGATTACATTTGAAAATAGATATTTATATACAAAAATAACAAGAATAATTTATTTAT